GCCAACGGAGGGGTCCTTGTGTGGGAACATAGGTATCCGTGACGTGTGCCTGAATTCCTCAGAATCAGATGCAGATGACACCCTTCGCACAACCTGGAAGCCATTTTTTGAGGGCCACACCCTATATCTTGGGTTTGTGTGTGCTAGCTTCTGATTGGTCAATCTTAATTTCAAAAACAGGATCGTCAGTCGTTATGGCAGAGATATGGGCGCCCTTGGCAGACAGAAGATGTCTTCAGCGTAGGACCGCTTTCCCAGAGGGGCGGGGTTGGGTTGGTCACTGGGTCAGCCCGAGGGCACGTGACATGGAGGCGGGGACGCAGGAAAGCTCCAGAATCCCAGGTCGAGTGCTAACAGTCTTTCGCCCACTCTGTGCTCCTTTCCGGTTCTCAAACCCCAAGCGTCGAGGAAGGGAGGTTGGCGATAGGAGCCTGAGTCCGGAGGCCGGGCCGTCTGTGTGCTGCAAAGAACCGAGTGGACCCGAGGCTGTCTCAGCCTCCTAACGCCGGCAGAAGCTCCTCGTCGCGCTTCCTGTTTCGTCATGGCGAGATTCTGGCTGTGCGCGGGCTGCACTGTCTTTTTCCTTGCATTTCTGAATTTACATTCGCGCTTTTCTGGCTCTTCGGTGAGTTGAATAGTGAAGAAGAAATTGATGCTTGTGGTATGGATAGCACTTGGGAGGCGATGCTTCCCTCTGCAATGGAGGTGGTGCACTAGCTTGTCTCAAACGGGGTGTGGGTGAGGGTGGTTGAGCGGAACCCTGAGGTGTTGTCTTGTCTCTTAGTTTTAAAATGTTAGTACAGAGGGTTCCTAACTTATGATTTTTCTACTGTGGGGTAGTGCAAAGGCGATACCATTCAGTAGACAGTACTTCCACGGGCTAGCACTATGCAAGCCTGCTACTCTCTCCTGATGCTGGACAGGTCTCAGCCACGCGATCAGGAAGACAAACAATTGATGCTATACACTGTGTTGTCAGCTTTTTGGGGGCGTGGGGGAGATATTGTATTTTCGGATCCCATCATGTTTATAAACACATACCTGTGTCTTCTGCTTCTGGTGAGAAGAGAAAGGCTTCGTGAGATGAAACTCAAGATAATTGCCCAACTATAGGATAATGTGTGTTCTGAGCACGTTTAAAGTAGGCTAGGTTATGAGCGATAGGTTACCTATAGTAATACATTTTTTAAATTCTGATGGACTTATCGGGATGTAAATCGAGGAGCATCTGTATATGGTGTATTCTCTTCTTTCTCACCTACCACTACAGCCTCAAAGACTTTACAGATTTGTATTTTGGTCGACTTGGTCTTTAAAAGTGTAAGACCATTCCTTCCCAAACATTTCTGACTTCTGTGGATAGAGGTGTCAAGGTATGCTTAGAAAGTAAGCTTTTTTTTGCTTTTTCAACCTAGACTGTAAACTGAATCTTAATCTTATGACTTTATTTAAGGTTTTAAGAGAGTTTATTTTTCAAATTTCCTGGAGAAGTGAGGAAATTCTTTACAAGCTGGATGTGGGTTGGCCTAAGCATTCAGAGTACTTTACTGGAGCGACATTTTGTGTTGCAGTTGACTCCCTGAACGGACTACTTTACATAGCCCAAGTAAGTAAAATGGGGATTTTAAAAAACAGCACATGAATACAAAAGGAGCAACAGCCTGTTTTATTGTACTAAGTCATATATGTTTACATCATGCCAGTTATAGAATTTGTTTTTTTTAAATTGCTTTGAAGTGAATATATGACTTTGAATTTGATAGATATTGTCTTAGGTGTTGAAGCTGGGTTTGTAAATGTTAACAAAATTCTTTGATTAACTTTACTTTTTGTTTCTCTCTCCCAAAATAAAGATTACTTCCTTAAAACTGACCTTATCTAAGCAATTATTTTTGTATACCTTCAGAGAGGGGATAACATCCAAAAGGTACTAGTGTTCACAGAGGATGGATATTTCCTACGAGCTTGGAATTACACAGTTGACACACCTCATGGTATGTTTGCAGCCAGTACACTGTATGAACAATCCATTTGGATCACGGATGTAGGAAATGGTATGTGTATTAGCATCTATTAAATTAGCTTGTTAAAAATTATATCTTTGCCCATGTTCTTTTTCTTTCTTTTCTTTTTAATCTCCACTCGAGGATATTTTTCCATTGATTTTTTAGAGAGAGTAGAAAAGAGAGGGAAAGACAGAGAGAAATACCATTGTGAGAGAAACACATTCATTGGTTGCCTCCTGCATGAGCCAACCAGGGCCCAGGCCAGAGAGGAGCCTGCAACAAAGGTACATGTCCTTGATTGGAATCAAACCCGGGACTCTTCGGTCTACAGGCCATGCCTCTATGCACTGAACCAAACCGGCTAGGGCACTTTGCCCATGTTCTTGTTTGCATGTTTTAAAATCAGAGTTGCCAAATGTAATTATGAAATCACGTATTATAGAAATATATTGTACTTCTGTAGAATTAAGACATTTAACAAGGAGGCTATCATTATTATCATCTTTCCTTTAACTTTATAGGAGCCTTTTCAAAATGTATATTATATTTTTTCAATCGAAGTTTACTTTTAGTATTATTTTGTATTGATAGGTGTACAGGATAATGATTAGACAATCATATACATTAAAAATTGTTCATCCTGATATTTACAGTACCCACCTGGCACCATACATAGTCATCACAATATTATTGACTATATTCCCTGTGCTGTACCTTACATCCCATACTATTCTGTAACTAACAATTTGTACTTGTTAATTCTTTCACTTTTTTAAAATTTATTTACTTATTTTTATTTATTTATTTATTTATTTTATTGATTAAGGTATTACAAATGTGTGGTTATCTCCCCATTGCCCCCCAACTCCTTCACTTCTTTAACCCAGTCCCCCAATCCCCCTCCCCTCTAGAAAACACCAGTTCGAGCTCTGTGTCTATGAGTCTGTTTCAGTTTTGTTTCTTCCTTTATTTTGTTCTTTAGATTCCATATATAAGTGAAATCATATGGTATCTGTCTTTCTCCATTGACTTATTTGACTCTGCATAATACCCTCTATAATGTATCCATTCATGCTATTGCAAATGGTAGGATTTCATTCTTTTTTATGGCCCAGTAATATTTCAGAGTGTGTGTGTGTGTATGTATATATATATATGCACCACGGCTTTTCTTTTCTTATTTTTTCATATATTTTTATTGATTTCAGAGAGGAAAGGAGAGAGAGACAGAAGCATCAATGATGAGAATCATCGATCAGCTGCCTCCTGCACACCCTACACTGGGGATCAAGCCTGCAACCCCGGGCTTGTGCCCTGACCTGCAATCAAACAGTGACCTTCTGGTTCATACATCAGCTCTCAACTGCTGAGCAACACCAGCCAGTCATGCACCACAGCTTTTTTATCTGCTAGACCAGTGATGGCGAACCTATGACACGCGTGTCAGAGGTGACACGGGAACTCACTTTTTTGGTTGATTTTTCTTTGTTAAATGGCATTTAAATATATAAAATAAATATCAAATATATAAATCTTTGTTTTACTATGGTGGCAAATATCAAAAAATTTCTATATGTGACACAGTGCCAGAGTTAAGTTAGGGTTTTTTCAAAATGCTGACATGCCAAGCTCAAAAGGTTCGCCATCACTGCACTAGACTATTGATGAGCATGTGGGTGGTTTTCATATCTTCCATATTGAAAGTAACACTGCAATGAACATAGGAATGCATATATATTTTTTGAATTAGTGTTTTGGGTTTCTTTGGATAAATAACCACAAGTAGAATCACTGGGTCATAAGCTAGTTTAATCTTTAATTTTTTTCAGAAACCTCCATACTGTTTTCTATAGTGGCTGAATCATTATGCATTCCCACCAACAGTGCATGAGGGATCCCTCTTCTCCACAACCTCACTATGTTAGGTTATTTATGCTAGGTTATTGTATGTTAACTTATTTATGATAGCCATCCTAATGGGTGTTGGGCAACAACATGTGGTTTAAATTTACATTTCTTAGATGATTAGTGACTTTGACCATCTTTTCATATGTGTATTGCCATCTGTTTGTCCTCTTTGGAGATATGTCTGTTCAGTTCCTCTACCCATTTTTTAATTGGATTGTTTCCTTGGTGTGGAGTAGTATGAGTTCTTTATAAAATTTGGATATTAACCCCATATTGGCTTTATCATTGGCGAATATCTTCCATTTAAGGTTGTCTTTTTTATTTTCTTGATGGTTTCTGTTGCTCTGCAAGAACTTTTTATTTTGATGTAGCCCAAGCATGTCAGACTTGCGGCCTGCGGGCTGCATGAGCCCACAATGAAATATATTTGCAGCCCAGTCACTATAACGGTATGTAAGAAACGTTTTAATAATTATTTCGTAACTTAATTTTTACAACATCCTGTTATACATAATTATTAATAATGAACTACTACGTTCGCTAATGACTGATTATCATAATCGTGTTGCATTCAGCGCCTTACGCGCAGGCACACCATTTCTCTCCACTAATACTAGCAGCGAATATTTTAGCAGCCCATTGCCACGACATTAGTCTTCTACTGACTTGTTTGATGTGCACAACAGGAAATATTTCACTTTCGGAGAACAAGAAAAATAGGTTTATTTGTGTTACACTTATTAGTTTGTATAGTTATTCATTGTCTGGTAAGTTAATATTCAAGAAAAAATACTAATTTTTATTAAAATGTTCTATTTTATGTTAATGATTACTCATTTATTTCAGTCCTTTGTCTTCAGCATGTCTCTATAGAAATAAACCTACATTTCTATGAAAATTGAAGCTTTTGTTTTTTTGCGGCCCACATAAACTTAAACCTTGTTTATTTGGCCTATGTTAGCCTTTGAGTTTGACATGCTTGATGTAGTCCTATTTGCTTATTTTTTCTTTTGTTTCCCTTTCTTGAAGGAGATATATCAGAAAAAATATTGCTAAGAGAAATGCCTAAGATTTGACTTCCTTGTTTTCTTCTGGCTCTTTTATGTTTTTGAGTCTTACGTGTAAGTCTTGAATTTATTTTAAGTTTATAGTGTAAGAAGGTGGCCTAGTTTTACTTTTTGCAGGTATTTGTCCACTTTTCCCAACACCATTTATTCAACAAACTGCCTTTAGCTCATTGTACATTCTTGCCTCCTTTGTCAAATATTATTGACCATATAGATGTGGGTTTATTTCTAGGCACACTATTCTGTTCCTTTTATCTATATATCTGTTTTTATGCCTTTACCATACTGTTTTTTATTACTGTAGCCTTGTAGTATGGTTTCATGTCAGGTGGTTCAGTACTTCTAAAGTTGTTTTCTTTCTCAGGATTTCTGGGGCTATTCGAGGTCTTTTGTGATTCCATATAATTTTTGGATTATTTGTTCTAGTACTGTGAAATATGCCTTCACCACACTATTGTCTGTGTCATATCCTATCTAATAATAGACAAACATGGTAATTGACCATACCTTCCCCAAAAATATTCAGGAAGCATCCTATCTAATAATAGACAAACATGGTAAGTGACCCTACCTCCGCTATGCCTCCCATTGGCTAATCAGCGCGATATGCAAATTAACCACCAACAAAGATGGCGGCTAATTTGCATACTGCAGGCAGGGCGGGACAGCGCAGCTGCCAGCGCAAGCCGCCATCCCGGGCCACAGGCTGGCCCCAGAAGTCACCCAGAAACTGGTGATCAGGGGGAGATGGGGTTCCCCTGCCCAGGCCTGACACGTCTGGCGGTGTGTCAGGCCTGGGCAAGGGGCTGATCTGGCGATCGGAGGGTGATGGAGGTCGACACTTCGGGCCGAGGCGTCAGGCCTGGGGGGGGGGCGGAGCTGGCAATCGGAGGGGTCTGAGAGTCCCGTGCCTCTGGAGGAGGCGTCAGGCCTGGGCAAGGGGCCAATATGGTGATCGGAGGGTGATGGGGGTCGAAGCCTGTGGCTGAGGTGTCAGGCCTGAGTGAGGGTGGAGCCGGTGATATTCTTAGTAACTTGGATAATAAGAATCCAAAAAGGTGATCTAGGGTTTTTCACCACACTCCTGGCAAAAAAAAGCAAGGTCCGCTGCTGGAGGGCTAAGAAATGTCATATCCTGCCCTAGCCGGTTTGGCTCAGTGGATAATGCCTTGATCTGCTGATGGCAGGGTCTGAGTTCAATTCTGACCAAGGGCATGTACCTAGGTTGCAGGCTCCTCCCTGGCCGGAGCCCAGGTCAGGGCTCATGCAGGAGGCAACCAATCAAACACCTCCCACAAAGGGAGGCCAGACTGCGACTTAGGCCGTATCCCCAAGGGGAGCAGGGAGAGGGCCTAAGCCATCACTAGGACATCCCCTGAGGGCTCCCAGTATGTGAGAGGGGGCAGGCTGGGCTGAGGACACCGCCCCCGCCCCGGAGTTAACAAATTTTGTGCACCGGGCCCCTAGTATGCATATAAGTTCCCTGGATAAACACTCCCCACTCACTCTCCCACCCCCTGCCTTCCCTCTGAAATTTGTCAGGCTGTTCCATGTTACTGGATCTATTTTGTTCATTAGTTTATTTTGTTCACTGGATTCCACACATGAGTGAGATCATGTGATACTTATTTTTCTCTGACTGGTTTATTTTGCTTATAATACTCTCCAGGTCCATCCATGCTATTGCAAATGTTAAGAAGTTTTTTCACTTTTACAACTTTATAGTATTTCATTGTGTAAATGTACCACAGCTTTTTAATCCACTCATCTGCTGATGGGCATCTGGTCTGTTTCCAAATTTAGCTATTATGAATGGTGCTGCTATAAACATGGGGGCTAATATATTCTTCCTGAAAGTTGTTTCTGGTTGCTTAGGATATATTGCTAGGAGTTCCATTTTTTATTTTTTGAGGAAACTCCATGCTAGTTTCCATAGTGGCTCCACCAGTCTGCATTCCCACCCGCAGTGCATGAGGGTTCCCTTTTCTCCACATCCACGCCAACACTTGTCATTTGTTGATTTGTTTATGATAGCCATTCTGACAGCTATGAGGTGATACCTCATTGTCATTTTGATTGCATATCTGGGATAATTAGTGACTTTGAGCATTTTTCATATGTCTCTTGAATATCTGTATGACCCCTCTAGAGAAGTAGCTATTTAGGTTCTTTGCCCATTTTTAAATGGGATTACCTTCTTTTTGTAAAGTTGTGTAAGTTCCCTGTATATTTTGTAAATTAATACCTTATCAGATGTATCATTGGCAAATATGTTCTGCCACGCAATGGGCTGTCTTTTCACTTTGTTGATGGTTTCATGTGCTGTGCAAAAGCTTTTCATTCAGATGTAGTCCCATTTCTTTATTTTCTCGTTAGTTACCTTTGCCCTAGGAGATGTATTGGTAAACATATTGCTACGAGAGATAAATGACATTTTGCTGCCTATTATTTCTTCTAAGACTTTTATGGTTTCATGTCTTACATTTAGGTCTTTTATCCATTTTGAGTTCATTTTTTTATTGTCTAAAGTTGTACATATGTCTCCTTTTCGCCCAATGGACCCTCACCCCCCAGCCAGTCCCACCCAGGGCAAGCCCCCACTGCCCCAGTGTTTGTGTCCATTGGCTATGCTAATATGCATGCATACAAGTCCTTTGGTTGCTCTCTAACCCCTCCCCTACCATTTGTCTCTGGATCTATTCTTGTTCATCACATTATGTTGATTGTTATATCCCACATATGAGTGAAATCATGTGATATTTATCTTTCTCCAACTGACTTACCGCAGAGCATAATCTGAGCATTCATTTCTTATATGAAAACAAAGTGGGTTAAACTGGTTATTCTCTAACAAGTCTCAGCACTCACATTCTCCTATTCTGTGTCTAGAGTCTAAAGAAGGCTAAGAAGAAAGATGCAAACATAATAAAACTGTATAAGCTAAGAATAGCTAGACAAATTAGCAAACATTTATCCTTAGGCTTCTGGAAAGCAGAGAGAGAAATGAAATAATAGTGAGTGATATAGCTGTTATTGAATAAAAGGAAAGGAACTTCATCCTAGCACTTAATTCTGAGAGGCTCTCAACCTGAGGTCCACAGGGACAAGGTAAGGA